TAAAAGCAATAAATCATCAACTGAAAGGGATGTCAGGTGGGATTTTCGTTATTTAGGCTTACCTCAGGGGGGTTTTGGTAATTTGCCCTTTATTTTTTACATATTTAACAGAAGGATATAATAGACATTTCACGTTTTCGGTTAAAAAAATTCGGTCAACCGTTAGTCAAGGGGGGTTTTCGTAATTACGAGAACATGGGGGGGATTTTCGTTATTTAGGCTTACCTCAGGGGGGTTTTCGTAATTTGCCCAAATATAAAATCTCTAATTTCATAGGACTTAACGTAATGTGGATGATGTATTATGCTTAATTTTTTTTCCTACTTTCATCTACCACATTATTAAAACCATGAACTCAAGTAAATTTTTACTTACTAAATAAATAAAATACAATGTCTCAATTTATGAACAAATGCTTAGAATGAGACAAGTAATTGAAAGATAGAAAATAAATATTAGGGTAAAATAATACATATATAATATAAAATGAAGTCATTTTACAGTTTCGGTTTTTCAGTTCGGTTTTTCGGTTCGGTTTTTTACCTTCCCACCATACCGAACCGAATAATTCGGTATTTCAAAAATAAAAAACCGTACATGCGGTTTGCTATTCGGTATGGTTTAAAACGGCTCGATTTTTCGGTTTTTCGGTTCGGTTTTTCGATTTTTCGGTTTTTCAGTTCGGTTTTTCGATTTTTCTGTTTTTTTTCTCACCCCTAGTTTTGATTGGAAGAAAACAATAAAATTCATCTTAAGCACTTTTTTTTTCAGCTTTAAAATGTGCTAAAAATCGCACAAATCAATACAAATATGCTGAAAATTGCACAGGTCATCCTAAAATATGCGAAAATTGCACGAATCACCCATAATTGTGTTGAAAATCGACAAATCACCACCACAACAAAGGTAGTAATTATTGTATCTTATCGTATCACGATATTTACTCATATTTGGGTGCAAAAGTTTTAGAATGTCGTGCACGAATCACCTATAAAAATGAATTAACCATATTTTGATGGAAGCGGCGAAAACAAATACCGTTTATTTCTTACTTCAATACCACCAACACAAAAAATAGGGCGAATGACAAAAAGGTCCATCACAAGGGACTTAAATGCACATTGGTCCACAAAAAAAAAAACATTCTTTCAAATAAACTCATTCTCATGTCTTTAGTCTTAAATACCCTCCATAATATAAGTTTTATCAATTTCATCCATTATACTCTAACTTTCTTAATATTACACATTGACCCTCAATTTAAACAAATATATCACATTAACCCCCAAAATAATAATTTTTTGATTTTTTTTTTCAGAAAATAATTTTTTTTCTGAATTTTTTTTCCTGCTAGATTCCGGCGTTGACTCTTTTTGTTTCTAAGTTTTTTTTCTGGTCCGGTCGGTCAAACGCCGTTGACCGCCGTCTCCGGCGTTGAATTTTATTTTTTTTTTCTTAGAAAAAAATATTTTAATTAATATTACTGTCTTGACTGCTAAATTACTGTCTCAAACAGTAATATTACTGTTTGGGACAGTAATATTACTAATATTATACTTCCGAACAATAATATTACTGTCCCAAACAGTATTATTACTGTTTGAGACAGTAATTTAGCAGCCAATACAATAATATTAATTAAAATATTTTTATTTAAGAAAAAACAAAATTTAAAAAAAAAAAAAAGTTAATCAACAGTTAAATTACTGTCTCCGACAGTTAAATAACTGTCTGAGACGGTAATTTAGCAGGCTAGACAGTAATATTAATTAAAATATTTTTTTAAGAAAAAACAAAATTATATAGAAAAAGAAAAAAGGTCAACGCCGAGACCCGACAGTCTACGATGGTTGACCTTCGGGGGAAAAAAATTCAGAAAAAAAAAAGTTTTCTAAAAAAAAAAAAAAGTCAACGGCGGTCTCTGATGGCTGACCGGCGGTCTCCAGTGGTGGTGGGTCAAAATTGAGGTCAACATTTAAATTAAAGTTAAAATTGGTTTATTGGTGAAATTGGGCTAAATTGAGGTATAAATCATGAAATTGAAGTCGAATTGAGTTTCAATGAATTGATGGTAATTTTGGTATATATATAAATGGATTTTCCTTATTTGCAAATAAGTTTGAATGAACTGGATTTATTTGAAAGACAAAAAAGTTGAATGTCCCTCTTTTAATTAAGTGCTCTTGTCATGAGCTTTTTTGAGATTAACCGTAAAAAATAAAAAATAAATAAATAATGTAATTATTACTTTTAATGAAAGGGCGCATATAGTTGACGTTTTTGACTTTTTTTTGTTCATGTGGTGATTTTTGTAAGATGTATTTTTTTGGATCAATTTATTTTTGTAAATATAATGGCATTTAATAAATAAATGGGCCATTAAATAAATGTTACTTGTGCGTTGCTTCATAAATATTACTCCAGTAGTATTATTTTTAGGAGTTTAATGCATGAGTATTATTTTTTGGGTCTATTAGATATAACCCCCTTAAACATTCAAATAATAGGGGTAGACCCAAATTTATATTTGCCATTTTGATAACAGCCCAAACTTTTCCTAATTACATAATTACCCTCAATCAAATCCCACAATACCCGTTAATTTACCTTTTGAAATAAAATCAAATCCCTTCCTATTTTCCCGTTAAATCACTATCATCCCTAACCCACTATCGAATAAACTGCAAAACCTCCCAGAACAACTTCTCGGTACCGCCGATTGAAAGGGGAAGACGTCTGCACTGCCGTGAAACGACGATTTTCGTGCACTCCGAGCAAGCTGTCGTAGGTACGTCGTCGCCACTCGCTGAATCGCTATCATCCATCGATTTGTTGATATGTTTTGGCTAAATCGACTATTACGTTTGTGTAATTGCAGATCTGTTATAATCGCATACCGAATTCGAGCACTAAATCAGTGATATTGCAACAATTGATGGGCAGGACATCCACCAGTAGTGATATCGGCGTTGGCCGCCGCCGTCGCCGTCGCCGTCACTGCTCCAATCTAGGGTTACTCAAATCTAGGATTACTCAAATCTAGGGTTTTGATAATTCTCCGGCCCATAGTTGATTAACGAGATGCATAGTCGAATTACATCTGTATTAATATACTATCCCATATCATTTAATAGACTATCCCACTGGTATAATTTTACTATGGATCTCGTTAATCGACTATGGGCCGAAGAATCATCAAAACCCTAGATTTGAGAAGTAACGGCGGCGGATTTGTGTTTTAAAATTAATAGACTATCTCATATCTTTTAATAGACTATCCCATGTATCTAATTCGACTATGGGTTTAGTTAATTGACTATTGGAAAAATAATAATATATATGGAAACTGAATAATATGTTTGTTTGAAATACTAATTAATTAGGGTAATTTTCCTTATTATATGAAAACGATTAAGGTAAATAATAATATATATGAAAAAATAATAATATATATGGAAACTGAATAATATGTTTGTTTGAAATACTAATCAATTAGGGTAATTTTCCTTATATCATGTAATAGACTATCTTATTGATCTAATTCGACTATGGATCTCGTTAATCGACTATGGATCCCGTATTATTCAACCACATAGTATATTAATAATTTCAATATAGTACATTGATCTGCGATGATAGTATATTACGGTTATAGTAGTGATGAATTGTGTTACAAACAATATACCACTGAAATGACAAGAACATTGAGAACAACACCAACGTAAAGTATTCCAACATAACTAATAAAATAGTACATTAATAATCTCATAATTTCAATCTAGGGTTTTGATAAAATACATAAAACACATCATAACACAATCAAACCAATATGTCGAGTTAAAAAACTCTAGTACATTAATAATCTCATAATAGTATAATAAAATGATAATGGTAGTATCATACGGTATTCGTAATAGTATACTACTGTATTACAACGGTTTAAAACTTAACCGAAGTTACCGAGCCATTACATCGTAAACACCTCTTTATAGCAACCAACCCACCAAACCTCAACAAAATCCGTACGAAATTCGCCATCGAAAAAACCTAAAATCATGAAACAACATTAAAAATGCAGAATACTAAAAAATGATTAATAGACTGCAAATACATTTGAATGACAATACATTAATATCATCAAAAATAAACTTAAAATGCAAAATCCATACGCTAATTTAAAAAAGACTACGAACTATATTTTAATGTACTACCCAACACACTTAAATCGGCTGTTATAAACAAATAAACCAACTATCGACCGGGATCAGACTCATGAACTCCACGACAGCGGACAGTTATTTCAATTAATGCGTAAACCAACTACAATGTTCATATAAAACAACTCTGGTCCGATATGCGTGAACCATCCTCATCTAACTCTGTCAATCCTCTTCCAAACAAACATCATCCGCCAAAAAATAACGACGTATATATGACGGAATAATTTTGTTAAAAAACGTTCTACTTAATAGAATCAAGTATCAACACAACTCTTAAAAATTTCTAACCACCGTAATCGATAATCCTAGACATTGAGCGAAAAATAAAAACGAATAACGCATTCATACCCGGTTAACAACGTCCAACAACGAATGCTCAAATTCGATTCTACTTCAACGACGGTGCAGAAATCTTCAAAGACGATAAAAAACCGCTGGAACGCTGAAGAGAACCTTCGAAAAATATTGTACACGATTTGATATAACGGCCAATGATCTCACGTAATTTTATTCCGTGATTTTAGGCAACGTATCAGCAAATCTCAAATCATGTAGTAAAGGAAATAAATGCCGTTTAAAAATAAAACAGGGGTATTAGAGGCAAATTATATAATATATTTTGCCTAGTTGGCAAAATTGGGTCTATCTCAAAAATGGGAAAAAAAATTGGATCTACCTCATTAGAAAATATGAACAAGGGGTTATCCCTAATAAACCCTTATTTTTATCAAATTTTAACTTCGTCATTTATGTTAGAGAGAGAGAGAGAGAGAGAGAGAGAGAGAGAGAGAGTAGACACGAGACGCACGAGTTTACAGTATCAATCAATTTCCTTGTTAGTTACATTTAATAATTTTATTAAATCATTTTTTATTTTCATTTTTTTTTAGCATTTAATTAGATCCGAGTTGTTGGTCAATGACGGATCAAATTGATCGATCCAATCAGATTTTTATTTATTTAAAAATTATTGACTATTAAACTAATATTGATTTATGAACTCAAAGTCACATGAATTATTAGTTTATACAAATGAAGAATTCAAAATCATTAATCCCAACAGCTTGAATTTGACTTTGTAGTTGTGCAGAAGTTTGAAGAACTGCAACAAAACCCTTCAGTTATATTATCTCCTGGTTAATTAGTTCACTAATTGCCACGTGTCACTCAGGATTAATGGATAATGACATACAAGAGGGGCTGCTTCTGCTAAGTTCAGGACCAGAAAATGGTGATGGTAGTGATTTGAAGAAACGAGTTTGCGACGAATCGAAGAAGATTTGGAGGGTTGCGTTGCCGAGTGTAATATCGAGGGTTTCTTTGTTCGGGACCATAGTCGTGACGCAGTCGTTTATCGGGCACATAGTTCCGTAGATCTTGCCGGCTTCGCACTTGTCCAAACCTTATTAGTCCGATTCGTCACGGCATTCTGG